GGAAGATTCCAACCGTATGATGAAATTCCAACAACTCTTTGACTCTCTGCCTGACTAATTTTATTTTTTTTAGTTTGACTGATGAAGTTACTTGGATGAGTAACGAAACATCTCAGATTAACAAACTCAGATTTAACCTTTTCTTTTTAAAAGATACTTTTGGCCTAGATGGTTGAGTCTTCATTGACATATTGCAATACATTTTGGGGAGAAATCCCTGTAGTTGGTTTGGCAAGAGTTGGTATTTTCCAACGACTCTCCAACTCTCTGCCTATTTTTTTAAAAAAATTTTTGACTGGAGAAGTTACTTAGATGAATAACGAAACATCTCAGATTAATAAACTTTGATCCACTTTTTAGATACATATGATAAAAGCTCCATCCCCTTTTTATATACGTCACAAGAGGGCGGAGCTTCTCTGGCATGGTTGTGGCTGCCATCTTGACTTTTTTGACCACTTCCCCTGTGGTCGAAAGACCATCCACAGAATATACACTCTTTCCTTCTAGAAAGTCTGCAGTGTATTTGGCTACCGGAAGATGAAAAACAACCCCAAAGACATTCAAATAAATAAGATTATTTTGAGTAGACTTTTTCATCATCATTCTTGTCGTCAATCATTATATTTGCATCATGCTTTTTCCGTTAAAACAGTGTTTCCCAACCTCAGCAATTTTATGAGGTGCGGACTTCAACTCCCAGAATCCCCCAGCCTGCATGGCTAGCTGAGGAATTCTGGGAGTTGCAGTCCACCCAGGCTGGTTGGGGAATTTGGGGAGTTGAAATCTTAAAAATTGCTGATGTTGAAAAACACTGCGCTAAAAAACGCTCCAGAATAAATACAGGATGAAGCAAAACAGGTGTTTTTTTTTTTTTTAAATAAAGACTTAAACTGGGAACAACAACAGCTGCCAGATTAAATTTAATTCAGCATCCAATCAGCTGACAACTTCTCTGAATTAAAACGCCTTTGTTTGCCCTTCAGGGAGCAAGCTCGAAATGTTAAATGAAAGTGGTTTTTAACTTTTTGACAGGCCAAAGCGTGTGCATCACACCATCTCTTGGTTGCGCTTAAATGAGAGCATCCTAAATTGTCACCCCCCAAATGTACAAAGCTGCCAGGAAATGGGTGTGTTATGTGTGCATTTGTGTGGGTCTGTTTGGAATGGGATGCTGTTGCCACATATCACTGGAGGGTTAAGAACAGAGGTCTCCAAACTTGGCAATTTTAAGACTTGTGGACTTCAACTCCCAGAATTCCCCAGCCAGCATAGCTTACTCTCTTGTAATCCCTTCCTTTGCAATCTCTCTCCACTTTAGGAGGTTAAGAGAAAAAAGAAACAGACACGGCTGGCTGGCTGGGGAATTCCAGAAGTCCACAAGTCTTAAAGGCACCAAGTTTGGGGACTCCTGGTTTACAAATTCTTTGTAACTTCCTCCTTCTTCCTCCTGCACATTCTTAAACCAGTTGTCGGCTTCTTCGTGGCGGCCATTAAGACCGCCGCTGCACCGCCTTGAGAAAAGGGGGTTTTGCCGGCTGGGGAGGGGGTCTGCGATACCCCTCAACCCCTGTCCGGATCCCCCCTATCTTCGGCTGCCCCAACAGGGCAGCCTTATCCTCCAGATCCGTCGGGATCGGAGGCACCAAGACGGCTAGCACGGCAGGGATCGCGCAGAGTCGCGAATCCCTGCCGTCGCCGAAGCGTGGCAAACCGGAAGTCACAAATTCTTGCTGCTTCAAATCACCTGAATGCGAGAAGATGCAACAGGTAAATGCTCAGCTGAGATCCAGCACGAAGCACTGATTTTCCCTGTGGGGTGCTGAAGCCTGCAGAGATTGGGGGGGGGGCTATAGATATTCCCCCTAATTTTCTGCCCCACAGATTGGAAACGCCCATTTCTGCTTTTAAACCAAGCACTGCTTCCCGCCCTGATGAAATTCAGAAAACTGTGATTTAACTGAAGTTCAGTTAGTGAAGAATTCAGGGTCGGAAACGGTCGTTGGGCCCTTCCTTTTTCTAGGTAGCTTTGCCTGAGGGCAGGACAAGAAGCAATGGATGGAAACTAACCAAGGAGAGGAGGAACCTAGAACTAAGGAGACATTAATCAGTGGGATGTCTTGTCTCCACGATGGGAGGTTTTTAAGGCGAGATTGGACAAAGGCTTGTCTGAAAGGATAAAGAATTTGGGGCTCAAGAGGGGGGGGGGGGGTTGGACTAGAAGATCTCCAAGGCCCCTTAGGAGTAGGGGGTGACATGACAACAGTGTTCCAACATTCGAGGGGCTGCCACAAAGAAAAGAGGCCTGTCAAGCGATTCTCCAAAGCCCCTGAAGGGAGAACAAGAAGAGATGGATGGAAACGAATCAAGGAGAGAAGCGACGTGGAGTTCAGGAGAGGTTTTCTGAAAGTGAGAACAATCAGCGGAGCAGCTTGCCTCCGGGAGTTGTGAAGGCTGCGACGCTGGAGGTTTTTAAGCAGGGATTTGTCTGAAATGGTATAGGGCAAGGGCCTTCAAACTTGGCAAGTTTAAGACTGGTGGACTTCGACTCCCAGAATTCCTGGAGCTAACGTGGACTGGAGGAGGAATTCTGGGAGTTGAAGTCCACCAGTCTTAAAGCTGTCAAGTTTGAAGACCCCTGTATCTATCACCTATCTATTTATCATCTCTCTCTCTCTCTCTCATTCTCTCTCTCTCTATCTCTGTACCTACATACCTATTTACCTGTCTATCTATTTACCTATCTATGTATCTATCTATGTATCTATCTATCTATCTATCTATCTATCTATTATCTATCACAAGGATCTTCAAACTTAGCAAGTTTAAGACTGGTGGACTTCAACTCCCAGAATTCCAGAGCTAACATGGACTGGAGGAGGAATTCTGGGAGTTGAAGTCCACCAGTGTTAAAGGTGTCAAGTTTGAAGAGCCCTGTATCTATCACCTATCACCTATTTATCATCTCTCTCTCTCTTCTCTCTCTCTCTCTCTCTCTCTCTCTCTCTCTCTCTCTCTCTCTCTATCTATCTATCTATCATCTATCATCTATCTATCTATCATCTTTGCATGTATGTATCTATCTATCATCTATCTATCATCTATCACAAGGGTCTTCAAACTTAGCAAGTTTAAGACTGGTGGACTTCAACTCCCAGAATTCCTGAGCTAACATGGACTGGAGGAGCAGGAATTCTGGGAGACTTTGAAGTCCACCAGTCTTAAAGCTGTCAAGTTTGAAGACCACAGGTATAGGGTCTCCTGCCTGAGCAAGGGGTTGGACTAGAAGACCTCCAAAGTCCCTTCCAACTCTGTTATTCCGTTAAATAAATCACAGTCCCCTAATCTAAAAGTCCAGAAACAAAGGAAGAGGACTGTGGCAGTTTTTTTTGCGCTCTCTGAGGTGGAGTGTTTCCTTGCCGGCATTTTATTACCCGACTAGGTAACATCCTCAGTGCACTGGGTAATGAAACATCTGCAAGAAAGCCATCATGTTCAGGTAAGCTTTGTCGATCTTTGGAGGGTCGTTCCCGCGAGACTGAATAGCTTCTGAGGGGGAGGTGAAACAGAAAGAAAGGGGAAGAGAAACGGAGACTCTTAACTTTTGTTAAAAACACAAAGCCTAGCGTATTACTTGCAAAGGAACAATATGCAGCCCTTTAACAGAATAACAGAGTCGGAAGGGACCTCGGAGGTCATGTAGTCCAACCCACTGCTTAAAAGCAGGAGGCCCTAGACCCATTCAGAGAAGTGGCTCTCCAACCTCTTCTTAAAAGTGTCCGGTGAGGAAGCAACCACAACTTTTGAAAGAAAAGCCCTTCCACTGGTTAATTGGAGTTGGTGGAAATGCTATTGGTTCGGCTCGGTTCGGCCCAACCGGTAGCACAAAATTGCTAACCGGTTCAGCCCAACCGGTAGTTTAAAAAAAGCTCCCATGATCGGCTGCGAGGAGGAAGAAGATAAGAACTCGGGATCGGCCCTCCCACCGGCCCCTGCGCTTTTCTGTTCTTTATCCTCTCCGCTGATTAGCCTCAGCGGGTCTTTGGAAAGCTGCGCGCGCATGATGTGTGCGGTCACCGAATCGGTAAGGGAAACTGGTAGAATCCCACCACTGGTTAATTGTTCTCACTGTTGGAAAGTCTCCCGTTCGTTCCAGGTTGCTTCTCTTCTTGATGAGTTTCCATCCGTTGCTTCTTGTCCTGCCTTCTGGGGCTTTGGAGAATAATTTAATTCCCTCTTCTTTGCGGCAGCCCCTCAAAGATTGCAATGCTGCTATTATGTCACCTCTGGTCCTTTTTTTCCCCTCACTAGACCAGAGAAGTACTCAGTGACTACAACCGTTCTTCGTATGTTTTAGCCTCCGGTCCCTTAATCACCTTGGTTGCTCTTCTCTGCACTCTTTCTAGAGTCTCAACGTCTTTCTGACATCGTGGTGAGCAAAACTGGACACAATATTCCAGACGTGGCCTTATGGAGCTGTACTAACACGTCACGCGATCTCGATTCTATCCCTCTGTTAATGCGGCCCAGCGGATCCTTACTTGTTGCTGTCCCGGTACTGATAGCTGTAGCAGCCTTGTGGCATCCCTGTCTCCTTGTCCAAAGTAAACGAGAGTTTCATCTGCAGGAGGAAGAGAAGGGAGGGAAGGGGAAAGAGAGGGAGGGAGAGACAGAGAGAAAAGGACAGAAACAGAGAGGGAGAGGGAGAGGGAGAAGGAGGAAGGGAGACACAGAGAGAGAGAGAGAGAGAGAGAGGGAAGGGGGGGAGGGAGGGGGAGGGAGAGAAGGAAGGAGAGATAGGGAGGGAGGGAGACAGAGGTGGGAGGGAGAGAGACAGGGAGGGAAAGAGAGAGGGAGAGAGAGAGAGGGAAAGGGAGAGAGAGAGGAAGGGAGGGAAGAAGAGAGACAGAGAGAGAGAGAGGGAGAGAAGGAGGGAGAGGAAGAGAGAGACAGAGAGGAAGGGAGAGGGGGAGAGAGGAAGGGAGACAGATAGAGAGGGGGGAAGGGGAGGGAGAGAAAGGGAGAGAGAAAGAGATAGAGAGGGAGAGAGACAAAGGTGGGAGGGAGAGAGACAGCGAGGGAAAGAAAGAGGGAGAGAGAGAGGGAGAGAGAGATAGAGAGGGAAAGGGAGAGAGAGAGGGAGGGAGGGAAAGAAAGAGAGACAGACAGACAGGGAGGAAAGGAGGGAGAGGAAGAGAGAGACAGAGAGGGAGAGGGAGAGAGAGGAAGGGAGACAGATAGAGGGGGGTAGGGGAGGGAGAGAGAGAGGGAGGGCGAGAAGGAAGGAGAGATAGGGAGGGAGGGAGGGAGAGAAAGGGAGAGAGAAAGAGATAGAGAGGGAGAGAGACAGAGGTGGGAAGGAGAGAGACAGTGAAGGAAAGAGAGAGGGAGAGAGAGACAGAGAGGAAGAGAGAGAGAGAGAGAGAATAACACATTTAGGCAACGTTCTCCAGTGCATCAGCAGCAAGCAACCGGGAAAGGCCATCGGGATCAACCAGCCTCCCCAAACCTGACAAAGCGCAACCATCAAAGGCTGGAATATCAACCCACTTTCCAAACCTCAAGAAGGAGTCAGATGGCCAGTAGGGAAAACGCTCGGGTTTTTTCCACTCCTTTTGTTAAGAGAAAGTGCTTGTGGTTCTTCTCAAATGGCAGGGGTCAGGACCGTTTCCCCGGCCTCATCCCTCTACACACAGACACACACACAGACACACACACACGCTGCAAACTCTCCACCCACGCATCAACCCTGCCCTAGATGAATGAACGGGGCTCCCTGCCCTACAACTGCGGGTGGAAAGCAAGATTCCCCGCCGTAAAAGACCTTGTGAAGGCTAGTCGAGACCTGGAGGCAGAAAAGAACGGTTGCAGGAAACGGGTAGGGCTGGTCTGGAGGAAAGGAGGACCAGGGGAGGCCTGATAGCAGCCTTCCAGTATTTGAGGGGCTGCCCCAGAGAAGAGGAAGGGGGGTCAAGCTCTTCTCCAAAGCCCCTGAAGGCAGGACCAGAAGCAACAGGTGGAAACTAACCCAGGAGAGAAGCAACCTGGGATTAAGGAGAAACTTCTTAACCGTGAGGACAATTAACCTGTGGAACAGCCTGCCACCAGAAGTTGTGGGCGCTTCCATCACTGGAGGGCTTTTAAGAAGAAACTGGATAGTCACTTGTCCAGGATGAATAGAATAGAATAGAATGGAATGGAATGGAATGGAATGGAATGGAATGGAATAGAATAGAATAGAATAGAATAGAATAGAATAGAATAGAATAGAATAGAATAGAATAGAATAGAATAGAATAGAATAGAATAGAATTCTTTTATTGGCCAAGTGTGATTGGACACACAAGGAATTTGTCTTTGGTGCAAATGCTCTCAGTGTCCATAAAAGGAAAGATACATTTGTCAAGAATCATAGAAAGTACAACACTTAATAACAGTCACAGGGTACAATAAGCAATCAAATCATACTAGGAAACAGTCAGTATAAATCATGAGGATACAAGCGACAAAGTACAGTCACACAGTCACAGATGGGAGGGGATGGGCGATAAGGAGTGATGAGAAGATTAACAGTAATAGTAGTGCAGACTTTGTAAATAGTTGAACAGTGTTGAGGGAATTATTTGTTTAGCAGAGTGATGGCGTTTGGGGAAAAAAACCATTCTTGTGTCTAATTGTTCTGGTGTGCAGTGTCCTGCAGTATATATTTATAGGGTCTCCTGTGAGGGTTGGACTAGAAGACCTCCAAAGTCCCTCCCAACTCCGTTATTCTGAATTAGTAAAGGTATATAGTGAGTATTTTAGTCCCTTCCTTGTCTGCCTGCCTTGACAGCCAGCCATGTTCTACAGGGCGATGTTGGACAACATCACAAATGACACACACTTTCTAAACCGGTCTCGAATTTCCAGCAAATAATTTATCTCCTGTCCTCCGAGCCACAATTCTTCTCTCTCTCTCTCTCTCTCTCTCTCTCTTTTATTTTGTTTCTTTATTCCTCTCTTCCAAGCCCTATTTAGCCTCTTGCTAAACACCCGAGCCAAATTGGTTTTCCTTTTTTTTTAAAAAAAGACCTCAAATTTGGGTGCCTCCACACCAAATGGAGAAGTTTTCACCTTTCCTTTGGTCCCTGGACTTCTCTTCTCCTCTCCAGAAATTTGCCGGAGGGACTCAGGAAAAGAGCTTAGAAATAACAGAATTAGATGACTGGGAGGAACCTTGGAGGTCTTCTAGTCCAACCCCACCCACCCACCCCCCAAGCAGAAGCAGGAGACGCTCTACCCTTCCAGACAAATGACTGTTTAGTCTCTTCTTAAAAACCTTCAGTGATGGAGCAGCCACAACTTCTGGTGGCAAGTAGTTCCACTGGTTAATTGCTATTGTCAGGAAATTTCTCCTTAATTCAAGGTTGCTTCTCTCCTGGATTAGTTTCCATCCATCGCTTCTGGTCCTGCCTTTAGGTGTTTTGGAAAATAACGTTGACACCCCCCCCCCCTTATCTGGAACAGCCCCTCAAATATATTGAAAAATGACAATCAGGTCACCCCTAGTCCTTTTTTCCCCAAATGCCATCACTCTGCTAAACAAATCATTCCCTCAACACTGTCCAGCTATTGACAAAGTCTGCACCACTATCACTGTTAATCTTCTCATCACTTCTTATCACCCACCCCCTCTCACTTGTGACTGTGTGACTGTAACTTTGTCGCTTGTATCCTTACCATTTATATTGACTGTTTCCTGGTATGATTTGATTGCTTATTGTACTCATTGACTATTATTAAGCGTTGGACCTGATGATTCTTGACTCTTTGACGAATGTCTCTTTTCTTTTATGGACACTGAGAGCATTTGCACCAAGACAAATTCCCTGTGTGCCCAATCACACTTGGCCAATAAAAGAATTCAATTCAATTCAATTCAATTCAATTCAATTCAATTCTATTCTATTCTATTCTATTCTATTCTATTCTATTCTATTCTATTCTATTCTATTCTATTCTATCTTTGTTCCTTATTCCTCATTCTATTCTGTTCTGTTCTGTTCTGCTCTATTCTATTCTATATTCTATAGTACCTTGATGAAAATATCTTCTTTTTTGTATATTGAGAGCATTTGCACCAAGACAAATTCCTTGTGTGTCCAATCACACTTGGCCAATAAAGAATTCTATCCTATCCTATCCTATCCTATCCTATCCTATCCTATCCTAACCTTATTCCTCATTCTGTTCTATTCTATTCTATTCTATCCTATCCTATCCTATCCTATCCTATCCTATCCTAACCTTATTCCTCATTCTGTTCAGTTCAGTTCAGTTCAGTTCAGTTCTATTCTATCCTATCCTATCCTATCCTATCCTATCCTATCCTATCCTATCCTATCCT